AGTCTTAACTTTGATAAAGAATATCTCTTTGGTTTTGAGACTTTAGTCTTTGCAACTTCAGGGATCTTATCTATGCACAATCAACTTGTAACACTCCAAAGAAAAAGGAAAACTTGAAATCGCATCATATGACCCCTTTAATATGTGATGCTCCCACCTCAGTGCACGTCTGTGTGCCGCCTTACCATTTTCGCCAGAAGAAATGGACTGTTATTTAGTAATTAACAGACAGCTATCCTCTTAACAGTGATTGAGACTTGCTTTTTTCCCTGCTGACTTCTGCAATCTTTTATTCCAGAGTGATCGATTGGTTGGATGCTTGCATTAACGTGGGGGGAAAAAAATTAGCCTCTGGATTTCAATGCAATGCTTTTAATGGAAGGATACTGTTACAGAAGAAATAATGGGCTGCGGTCAGCAGATGAACATCATTATGCTGTTGAAGCCAAGTAAATTAAACAACATACTTAATAAGAGAAAAGAACATCAATAACTGGAACTGAACAGAGTTTTTTTCATATACAATCTTTTGAATATCAAACAGATTCTATTCGACTTTCTTTGCTCCTCCACCAATTTGATTTCAGCCAGTTTCTTCACATCTTGTATTTCAATACTAACACCAAGAGGACTAATCATGCAAGAAAATGTGAGCTCCAGAATGGACACCCCCACCAACATCTCCCTGGTGGGGTCCGGGGACGCTGTGTCGGAGTCCCTGGAGTATAAGACGGTATCTGTGTTCCTGGTGCTGCTGGTGTGTGGTGTGGGCATTGTGGGAAACATCATGGTCGTGCTGGTGGTTCTTACCACACGGCACATGCGTACACCCACCAACTGCTATCTGGTGAGCTTGGCCGTGGCTGACCTGATGGTCCTGGTGGCTGCGGGTCTGCCGAACATATCTGAGAGCTTGATGGCCACCTGGGTGTACGGGCATGCTGGGTGCCTGGGTATCACCTACTTTCAGTACCTTGGTATTAATGTGTCCTCCTGTTCGATCACAGCCTTCACTGTGGAGAGGTAAGACCTAAAATGAAAGGAAGTAACATACAACTGAAATTAAATGGCTTAGAGCTGGATACAGAGTTTATGGTAAAAGACTGTATTTATATAATATGAAAATAAGTATAAAAAATAAGTATATATATATATATATACTGTATATA